CTGTATCACCAGCTCCTTAAATGCTCAGACATCAGAGAGGGCTACAGTATCCAAGTGATCTTTCGGTTGCTGATAATCACCTCTGCCTTTCAAACTTCCTCTGTTGTCTTTGCATCCTTCCAGTGGCTGTTCTACGTGAACACCTGCTAAGACTTGGACTGTGGTTTCTGGTGTTACCACTCTCACTGAGGTCACAGTGGCTGGGCAGGACCTCTTAGGCTCTAATCTGTTTCCTAAAATATCAATTCAAGGAGATGTCTCCCCCTTTCCCACTGTGGAGGGCCACAGTCCTAAATGGCTTCGTTAACTGAGGCTTCAGCCCAGCAGAAAGAGTCACCTGGTTGTTCTCATGTGCAGAAACCAACACAGTGGGGACTTTGTTCAGTCAAGAGGCTCTTTGCTGGAGCATGGATTGTAGAAATCATTGTGTTCGTGCTGCCTGAGCTGTGACACCGCTTCTTAAAACTGGAGATACCCCCTATCAGGACACACCCTTCCACAGCTGCTCATCAAGCTCCTGTGCAGCTTCTGCCATATCACAGGAGAGAGTCTGGTGGCTGACTGTGTGCAGGAGATGGGTGTGGCTACTCTGAGAACTCATCCCATCAACATTTTTTACGTAGGAAGCCATGAAGAGAATAAAGACAGTGGAGCTGCATGTCCACAGCAAGGATCTCACTGAGGGGTAGACCCTGGGTTAAGGCTGACACTCGGGCACTCAGACACTACAAGGGAAAGTTAAAACGGTCTTAGAGAGGGAAATCACTTGATATCAGGTATATTGAACCAAGAGAGGATGACCCTTTCCATTGGAGACCTCTCTGTTTTGGAAACACCACTGCTAAATTTCTGTAGAGGGCAAGAGTGCTTGAATGAGCACGTTGTTCTTGAATGAAGAGAAGCTGAATTGCTTGATGGGTTGTGAATCCAGGTTCAGCATTTTTGGATCTCAGCCACGGGAGTGTGTGTTCCATGAGGTGACAAGCCTTCCAAAGAAAATGCAGTGCTACACCCTCCCATGTCCTCCAAAGCTATTTCTGCTGAGGTTTTGGAGCTGTGCTTCTTGCTTACAGATTCTGCTTCTTTATTGTCCTTTCTGGGGAATTGTCCTTCATTTGAAGGCCCCATGTTGGTGTTTCACACCAACAACAGAGAAGGCAACTTCTACAAATCCTTTTTTTACCCCCAAATGCATCACTGTAAAGTGGGCTCTGGGGTGTCAACTGCCTTCCAGGTCATTTGCACAGAGATACCCATCTGTGTGCAGGGCCTTGGGACTGTCTCCCTGCCTCAGGTTACAGTTTGCATCAGGAAATGCTGATCTCCTTGGCACCTGGTGTTTCTTCTTTCCACTTAATTGGGAGATGCACAGGTAGCTGGAGCAAAAAGCTCCCTTGGGTGTAAAATGAGCTCCTGGCACCCCCCTGGGTTGCACAAAGGAGGTGAGTTACCTGAGGCACCAGGATCCCTGCTGGTGCAGCTCTGGTAGCCTAACAGGAAAGCTGTGGAGTGAAGCCTGTGGTGAACTCTCCTGGAAAAGCTGCCAAGTCTCCAGGGAGAAGTGACTGCACACGGCAGCTCGTGGAGTCATCTGGGACCTCTGCAACACCAGTTCTTCCTGAGTTCTCCAATACTGTCCTTCATTCAGTCTCTCTGTAGCTTCCCTTTTCTTGCCTTGGAGTCATGAATCTCCTTGTCTTCTGCTTCTCAGCCCATCACATGCTATTCTTACCTGTGAGGGTGGGGAGGCCCTGGAACAGGTTGCCCAGAGAAGTTGTGGATTTCCCATTCCTGAAAGTGTTCCAGGCCAGGTTGAATGGGGCTTGGAGCAACCTGGGACAGTGGAAGGTGTCTCTGATCATTGCAGGGGGTTGGAATGAGATGAACTTTAAGGTCCCTCCCAACCCCACACTTTATGAAGGCAGCGAGGACCACATTGCACATTTCTTGTGGGGTCCTGGCCAAGGATCCTTCTAGAGAGGGGCAAAGCTGCAGAAACCCAGAAACACAACATGGTTTGGTGCAGTCCAGGCAGTGCCTGATTTCTTAGACATCCAGCAAAGCTGTAGGGAGCAGGAAGTTCTTAAGGGAGCTCTTAATGAGCGACCAGGAGGGATTAGAGAGCCTGGAGCAGTTTGTGCAAAGTATTTGGACTTAGATCTGATCCCGTGTCACACTTCCTAAATCCCCGAGCAGCCTCCTGCTGTGATAGGGTGTTGCAGTCTAGGAAGCAGGGCCTGATATGGGAATCCCAATCCTAAATCATGGTTATAATCATAGAATGGTTAGGGTTGGAAGGGACCTTGAAGGCCATTTAGGTTCTTCTGCTGTTTCTGGCTGAGGGAGGTGACTTCTGACAACATAAGGTGCTATCAGAAGGGGAAGTTTGTGTGTTCCCCTTCTCAGGGGAGCAGAGTTAGGGATCAGTAGGATGTCCTCTGAAGGACAAAGGGGACAAGATGAGGGCAAACAGAACTCTGTCTTTGATGGATCAGTGATTTGATGGACCACAGCAAGTCTTCAGACAGAAGTTGATCAAATCCTCCTTTCCCTGAGTTGATCCTCATTGTCAACAGCATTTGTGCAAAGACCTTCCTTCTGCTGAGCTGTACTTCCAGCAAACAATGTTACTACATGTTTTTTCCCCTTATTCCAAACACATCTATCTTTCACAACCCCAAACATTAACTCCCAAGGAACAAAGGCTTTGAGATAAGATTAGCTTTGCCACAGAGGTGTTTATAAGCTCTTTTTTTCCCATTCCCTCCTGCTTATGAATTCCACCCCTTGGCAGGGAGGTTGAGATTGTTATGTAACAGCTTAGCTACTGTAATTAGAGGGCACAAAATTACATAGGAAGGAGGGACATTATGCAGTGTGGATGCTACACACTCACCTGAGTTTCAAAAGCACATGGGTTGAGTTTGTGGAGGAGAAAAACCTTAATGAGGAGTGACTGTGAATATACTGAGTGTGCAGGTGCCTGGTTCAGAAAGTCCTTCAGCTGAAGATCACAGAGGTCTGTGAGAGTTTTGTGGGGAAAGAGCTGCTGGTAGAGACAAAGAAACTGGACTGGGATGATCTTTGCTTGATTTGCTGTGGTTGCTTTTATGCTCTTAGTCGGGTTCCCTGATGATGAGCAAAACCTGCCTCGGCACAGCAAGGAGCAGAGGAGGAGCCCACAGAGCTTTGCAAACAAACCACTCTCTATAAAAATGCTGTTTTCCAAGGCCATTTATTATAAGCAGAACACTGAGGCACAAGGAAGCCCAGTGCAGTAATTATATTTGTGAAGTTCAGGTCATGTCCGTTTGCTGGACCCAATTGATTGTTATTCACACAATAGAGCCTTTTTTGTGCGGTGCTGAGCTTATCAGTCCCTAATTTAAAAATTATTTGTGCTTGAGTCATGTTTATCCTCCCTCTCTACAGTACTTTGAATCTGAAGGTGCTCCTGGAAGGCAATACAACCTCCTCTTTTGACGTAGAGTTCCCATTTAACCATATTTTTTGAAACGTTGCCTGTGTTTTCTGAAGTCTGTTGAATTTCACAGTGTTCTGTAGATAACACTCTTTCCATCTTCGCTTAGTTCCTGCCCATAAACAGGTCTTAAATTGTTCACAGTGGGGAAGAGAGGAGATAAAACACCTTCCAGCTTTTGCTTTTTCATCTTCCTCCTTGTAGGAAGGCAAATGTCTAATTCTTTATTTATTCCTGAAGTTTTGCCATCATTAATTAGCACAGTAGATTGTGGTCTTAGAGGACTTTCTCCTTCTATCATCATGATGGGGCTCTGGATCTTCTGGTTTTTTGAATACTCAACCCCCTTTCTGCCATTATAACTCTCAGAAGTGTGCTCTTGGACCCCTTTAAGAATCCTTTCTTGGAGGTAGAAGAATTTTCCATCTGCCTGGGGACCAACCTGCTCTGAGAAGGACCTGGAGGTCCAGGTGGACAACAAGCTGTCCATGATCCAGCAGTGTCACTGACCATTAGGAAGAGCATTGCCAGCAGGTCAGGGAGGGGATCCTGCCTCTCTGCTCAGCCCTGGTGAGACACATCTGGAGTTCTGTGTCCAGTTCTGGGCTCCTCAGTGCAAGAAAGATATGGAGCTATTGGAGCAGGTCCAGTGAAGGGTGACAAAGATGATGAGGGGACTGGAGCATCTCCCTTACAAAGAAAGGCTGAGGGAGCTGGGGCTGTTCAGCCTCGAGAAGAGACACTGAGAGGGGACCTCATCCATGTCTGTAGGGTCTGCAGGGAGGGGGCAGAGGATGGATCAGGCTCTGCTCAGGGGGGCCCAGCAATGGGACAAGAGGCACAGGCAGGAATTGATGCCCAGGAAGTTCCACCTGAACATGAGGAAGAACTTCTTTGCTGTGCAGTGACTGAGCACTGAGCAGATTGTCACTGAGCACTGAGCAGAGAGGGGGTGGAGTCTCCCTCACTGGAGATATTCCAGAACTGTCAGGACACAATCCTGTGCCGTGTGCTCTGGGATGGCCCTGTTTGAGCAAGGAGGTGGGACCAGGTGACCCACTGTGGTCCTTTCCAACCTGACCCATTCTGTGAATCCGTGATGAGCTGCAGTCATGACACATTCCCTTATCCCAGGTTGCTCCAAGCTCCATCCAACCTGGCCTTGAACACTTCCAGGGATGGGGCAGCCACAGCTTCTCTGGGCAACTTTTGCCAGGGCCTCACCACCCTCACAGGGAAGAATTTCTTCCATATATCCAACCTAAATGTCCCCTCTTTCAGTTTGAACCCATTACTCCTTGTCCTGTCACCACAGTTCCTGACAAAGGCTCCTTCTCCAAATTCCTTGTAGGCCCACTACAAGGGAGGCCCACAAAGGTATACCAGGCTGTATTCCTGTGTTTTCCACAAGCTTTTGCCACTGCCCAGAGACAGGTTAATAAGGAAGTGGAGTTTTGCCTGGATTTTATACGCCCTTATGTCCCTCAGCCCTGATGAGCAACATGTCCAAGCTCCTGTTGTGTCCACATGTGCCACAACATCCACAAAGAGTCACCAGGGAGGGAGACTGAACTTGGCCTTGATGTGACAGCTCAGCCACACAGGATGTGAAAAGAAGAAACATCTTCTCCCTGTGGTGCTGAACTGGTTTGATGCTGATGCTCATCATCCCCAGCAGATGTGACACGGGCTGTGCCCAGGCACAGGGAGGTGTCACATCGAGTTGGCAGCACAGGAGAACCTCACACTGATCACAGCCAGGTCTCATCTTCCCTCTGTGAGTGACTGGCGTCGCTTCTGCGCCCAAACATGTGTGTCACACTGGGTTGCTGCTTCCTTGGAGAATTAAAAAGGGGAAGATTTTAGTTAGAAGTAATTATTTTTTTAATTAAAAGAATGAGCTTGATGATCTTTGGTTCAATTAGATTTGTCTTGTCTATTTATTTTTTTTTATTCTAATGAGGGGTGAAGCACTGTGTGAACCACAGATGGTTTGTTTTTAAATACATTCCCCTGGCATCACTCCCCTCTCCGTGAGCTCCAGCAAAGTGAAAACACAGGTGTTGGCCCTCCAGGTAGGCTGTGGAGGAGGAATGCCTCTGCTGGTGGCATCTCCCACCTGGAGATCACACTGTGTGTGAGATCCTGCCTGAAAGGCCTCTCAGAGGAGGCAGAGCCTCTGCAGGAGGTTTAACTCCAGCACGGGGTGCTCACACCTTGGGGACTGCAATCACAGTAAAGAGAAATTCTTGCACTGCAATGGATCAGATTAAAGCCTCCAGTGCTCCCCAGGTGCTTCTGTGTTGCTGTTTTCTTATAATCAACATCTTTCTGTGACCAGGGAATAACAATCCTGCAAGGGCAGCTCCCCTCAGGATACACGGGAATTCTGCTCATGCACTGATGGCAGACAAACAATCTCCTCTCTTTTATATCCAAAGTTCTAATTTCCACCCTTGTGGTGATTGGTTCTACAGTCACAGAATCATTAAGGTTGGAAAAGACCTCCAAGATCATCGAGTCCAACTTTTGACCCATCACCACCTTGTCAACCAGACCAGAGCACTGAGTGCCATGTCCAGGTATTAAAGAGGGATGAGACACAATTAAGGACAGTCCACAGCAACAAGAATTATCAAAAAACTGGGGAAAAGGGAAGGAAACAGCCCTGTGAAGAGCAGAAGTGGCTAGAGGTGAAAAGGGGACAATCTTACAGTGTGAAGCACCACCACCACCACAACAAAAAACCTCAAATATATTGATTTTGAAGGCACGTGCTCAAATAGTGACAAGATTAGTCATTAGCACCAACTTCTGGCTGTAAGGAAGTCCTGGGAAGGTCACCTAGGGAGGGAGCAGAGTTATGTTGCTATGAGATTTAAGAGCAGGTCAGGTCAGATCCATCAGCAGAGATGTGTTGAGTGGATCCTGTCTCACCCACCTGCTCTCTTCAGTTTTAGCACCTGGATCTCTCACCATTCCTTGCTGCTTCTCCAATAAACACGTAAAATAATGAGTGTTTATCCTGAGAATGTACCCAAAAAAGCCACTGTTTGGAGTTCTGAAGTACACAACTCTCAAAGCCACTGACTGGAGTTCTGAAGTACACAACCCTCAAGAAGTCCCGACCTGCACTGCAACCAGCCAGCAGGGATTCCTGCATCTCCAAGGGATACATTTGTTATTTTGGGGAAGAAAACAGCTTCATTTGTTCCCTGAACACTCTCCTATACTTCCCCATTTATGCACTGCCTTGCACCTTCACATCTAAGCAAACAAAATGGATGAAGGAAGCGTCCCAAATATAACAATGATTTAACTGAGGGGAATGAGGGACTTCTGAGGGAAAAATCAGGCCCTGAGTCACACCCTCCATGGGCATCTGCCTGTGCAGAGGCCATAATGTTGCTAAGAAATCCACAGCAAGTTGTCACCTGCCCTCAAGCAGGGATTTCACACCTCAGAGTGGATACAGGGAGCTCACAGGGGGCACTGCTGTAATTTAAAGTGACTTTCCCTTCTTTTGGTGACAAGGCCAGGTTGGACATGGCCCTGGGCAACCTGGTCTAGTGGAAGGTGTCCCTGCCCATGGCAGGGGGCTGGAACTAAATAAGCTTTAAGGTCCCTTCTGACCCAAACCATTCTATGATGACTTTTCCAGTTTTCCAGCAGTGCTAAAAACACCACATGGAAGACTAAGGACAGAAACAGTAAGTTTCAGCCAATCTCTCTGCCCTTCACACCTTCTATAAAGGCCAAATATTCATCCTTGTAACAAAAATGAATAACCACAGCTAGAAACAAAGGCAGAAGGGAAAGGTTATAAACCCTCACCAGCTGTTTTTGCAGAACTGGATTCACCAACGTGTCTGGAGTGCACAGAACATTCATTTTCCTTCCTTCCTCACTGGCCTTCACAGAGCAGGTTTCCACATGGAGATTCATTTCAAGTAGGCTATGGAAACAAGATGCATAATTAGTGCAGCTAATGACAAGGATGAGTTTCCAGTCTAAGCATGAGCAGATCAAACACTCTCAGGTCAGCAGGAGAGAGTTTGTTCACAGTAAATCATGGCCTGCTTTCCCAAAGGTCTGTGTCCTCTAAACAACACAAAAGCTGGTATGAAAACAAGCTCCCCCAGGTCTCTGAGGTGAGCAGATGTTGCAGGAGAAAAGGGTTTTGATGGGAAGGATTTTCCAACCCCAACAGTGCAGCATCTGCTGCACCACCCTGAGGCAACCCCGCAGTTGTTGGGATGCTCAGCCAAGAGCAAAGAGACCACCCTAACAGCCTTTGTGTATGGATGGAGACCCTGATGCTGGGGAGGAGAAGGTTTGGAAAGCACAGAATGCAAGTCAGGTTTTGAAAAAACATCTTTGTGCCGTGGTTTTTGTAACTTTGCCTCACTGTCAATGCAATGATGTAACTTCCTAAAAAGCCGAGAAACCAAGAAAACGGGAAATGACCATCTGATCCAGAAGGAATGGTCTGCTGTGGGGTTTTTTGTGGTTTACATTCCTTGAAGATGGATTAGAGTTTCTTGACTAAAGCATCAGCATACGCAATCTTTTCACCTGGTGAGCACACAGCTCTCAGATTAAAAGGGCAATTCTTCCTCTTTTTTATAATTACATTTATTGTGCAGGAAAGGTTCTGCATCACCTCAGTCCCTTCCTCACAGGCAGGAGTGACAAGGCACCTCAGTGCAAGGTTGACATCACAAGCTCCCTGTAGATGTGGTCTCTCAGGACCATTTCACTAGTTGGTGCCAAACACCCTCTGTAATTAGCAGGAACACAGAGTATTGACCCAAACCCCACAGCTCTGCATTTGGAAAGCACAGAATGCAAGTCAGGTTTTGGAAAAACATCTTTGTGCTGTGGTTTTTCTAATTTTGCTTCACTGTCAATGCAATGATGCAGCTTCCTAAAAAGCTGAGAAACAAAGCAGAGAAGGAAAATCCTGTAATGAGTGAAAGGTCACTTTCCCAACTCTATTTACTGAGCACAATTTTGTTAAATAGACTTTGGAGTATAAAGAGTGAGTTTATGAAAAGGACTCGGGTTTCACC